GCTATTAAAGTACGGACGTTGAGACGTGGTGTTGACAGTATACCGTCGAAATAGGAAGGACACAAAAAAGAAACAAAACAAGTCAGACGAGGCTGAAGTAGAGAAGGTGAGGAGAGAGCGTACAGGTAACAGTGTGAAGGTGAGGACGGCCTGCCCAAGCCGCTGAGGAGCACCGGCGCCCAAGAGCAGGAGGTGAGGGAAGAACGGTGGTCAGAGCGGAAACGGTACGGTGAATGCCAAAAAAAAGGGAGGCAGGAAAAGTCAGTAGACCGCCGGCCAACACCGTGAAAAGGTCCACGTCGAAAAGAGACTGCAGGTGAAACAGGAAGGAAGGGAGGAAGTGGAAGTGGACGGGTAGTCGCGTGTGCCAGGAGGGGGGCAACAAGAAATCGGAAAGGGAGTCCAGAAACCCCATGGTCACACGCATGAAGTAAAGGGGTAAAGACGGGAGTAGGGTGAGTGTGGCGAAAAAGTGGGAAGGGCAGGATGTAAGGGTGATGTGCAGTGAAACGCAGGAACGGGTAGAGTGCGGGAGGAGGCAAGGACCGGGAGAAGAACAAAAGGAGACAAACCCGGCTATCGCAGGACACAGGGGTCGAGAATAATCGAAGTTGGAACAAGGTGCGTGAAGGGAAACGAGGGGGAGAGAACAGAGTAGACAGATGGCAGCGTGGTGAATGGCCGAGGGCAACACAACACAGCCCGCGGACGGGAGGTGGTGCGCATGAGGTCCAGAGGCACAGTGGCGCTGGCAAGTGGTGCGCAGTGTGCAGTGAAAAGGGGATGACATGTGTAATGCGACGGGAAAAGTGCGGTGAAGTGTGGCGCCCGGCACGAAGGTGCGGAAACGGCCAACAAACAACAACAACAGACACTAATGATAAGTGTTGCTGCACGTTAGCAGTAGGGCATGCAGCGAGGGTGCCGGCTGTGCGGTGTAAAGTGAAATGGGGGGCAAAACCGGCAGCTAGTGGGCCGGCGACCGACGGCCGGCAAAGGGGAGTTGGGCAACGAAAACGGGCAACAAAAACTGTATGGGAGCAGGAAGAGTAAGAACAACAGGTGGCGGTGAAGAGGGGCACAAAAGAGGGCAGGGCAAAAACAGGCAGGTGTCAACCAAGGTGAATGTGGGTCAGCGCGATAAGGAGGCTGTGGGTGAAGGGAGAGGAGCACATGGCACACACACAGGAACGCGGACGGAAGGCTAGGGGCACACGCAAACGGAGAGTTCGCGAGGGATAGGAAGCGACAGATGGGGAGGGTGACCGGGGACGGCGGGGGAAACATAGGGTGGGCGAGGTCGCGGGCACACGGGACCGCAGTAAGTAAGCCGATGGTGGCAGTGCAAAGGCGGAAGAGAGGAGGGGAGGCAGTAGTGGGAGGTAGAAGTCAGGAGTGAACATAAGCATGAGAAAACTGTAAGAAGAAACTTAAACGTGGGAAAAAAGTTGAACCGATGGGAGTGAAGGGAGGGTACGACTGTCAGAAAGCCGCCAGTGTAGGAGGAAATGTCATGCGTTAGAAATGAGAAAGAGAGCTGCCAATTCAAGCATGCGTAGCGAACCGACGACCAGTGAAACGGAGGCGGGCGGTACGCGGAGACGCAATGGGAGGCGGTGCGGGAAAGCCACGAGTAATGGAGTGGGGAACCGAGCGGAGAAAAAAAGCAGGAAAAGCGGGAAGAGGAGAGCGAGGTCAAAACATCCTGGTGCGGACGACAAAGCAAACGAACATTGACGGAACGCGGAGTGTTGTGAGAAGTGTCCACCAGAGGCATGCAGAAGTCAGGGCGCCGAGGGGGAAGGAATGGTGGCAAAGAGAAGCAATCGGTGAAAGCAGAGATGTGTAAGCGGACCGTTAAAGCAAACAACCAAGGCGTGGGTCAGCGAAAGAAAGCAGCGACGACGGATAGTGGAACGTTGGCGGCCGGTAGGGGCGGAATATGGCTCCAAAACCGTGCGGGAGAGTCGGCTGGAGGAGGGCGAATGAGCGCCAACCGGGAGGAGGGGGAGTAAGGGAGGGGCCAGCATGGCTGTCGACGCGCGGCCGGGGAGCGTCGACAGAGCGCGACTGACAAGGGGAGTAGCGCCAAGGGAACGTGGCGGGGAGGGCGACGGACAATCTGAAACTAAGAGAATAGAGAAGGAAGTCCGAGGGACCAAACAGAAACCGTGGGAACGTCGCGAGAACGTCAAGGTAGAGGGGCCGTAAGAACGAATCACACACGGCACGGAAAGAGGGGGAGCCGGCGCCAAAGAGCGGGAATAGTCTTGGCGCGCGGTGGTGGAGAGGGTGCGGTAGGTCCTGTAGCCGAACGGTGCACCGCATCCGGTGTGTGACCTGGGTAGGGAGGCAGGAAGCAGAAAGGCAACCCAGAGGGTCCGAGGCCCAGGGGAGGCGACTGAGCGTGTGGCGCGCGGGAAAAGAACAGGCAGCGCAGGAGGAAACAGAGTACCACTGAGGCGAACGGCCGTAAAGCGTAAGGGACTAAGGACGCCGAAGACGGGTAAGTGCGGCGTAAACGGAGACGGCGTGTCAAGCACGCAAAAGTAAGGTGGGGTTATGGCCACGAAAGGAGTGGTGAGACTGGGACGGTGAGGTAATGAAGCGCGACCAGCGTACCGCTGAGGGCACTAGGCCGCAGAAGAGAAGTAATGATGACGCACAATGTAGCAAAAGGTCCACGGAGAGCGACACGGAAGATACGAGGAGGAAAGCTATGAGACCGGTCAACAATGGAAATGGGGCGGCCACCATAGGGGCCGCGGAGGAGGCGCCTAGAGCCCAAGAGGGACGGTGGAGGACGAGGACGGCTAGTGTCAGGCGGCGACCCAGAGACGGGCGGCGAAAACGCAGTGCAAGCGGCAAAAACGGGCAAGGGCAGGGAAGGGCAAAGGCGGACACACACAGTGCTCGGCAGGCAGGCAAAGGGCAAGCAGGGTGGTGAAAAAAGAAGGGGTTGGGTGAGGGCGAGCCCGGGACGGGTGTGAGGAGAAGTGGAGTGAAAAGGAGGACCAAGGGCCACACAAGGGGGGAAAAGGAGGGAAGGGTGAAAACGCAGGGAGGAGGGCAAGGGCAAGGTGCAACACGAAGGCCAGTGGGCAAAGGAAACGAAGTGGCCAAGCGCAAGGGGGCAACGGGCTGCCGAAAACAAAGGAGGGCAACAAGGAGGGGTCAAAGTGCATAGCGGGTGGTGGCCAGGGCACGCAGTGGAGGGAAGGAAGAAGGGAGGAGACGGGGGAGAGGAGAGCAGTGAAGGGGCAAGGGCAGAACACAGGTCAGTAAGGGCGTGGCGGTGGGTAAGGAATGTGGAGGACGGCGTGCGAGAGGAGAGCCAGAGGCGGAGAAGAAAGGAGAACAAACGGCGAAGGCTGAGAAAGAAATGGAAAGGGAATGAGCAAAAGAAGAAGGGGTGAAATAAGGAGGGTGAGGGCGGCGAAAGCAACGCAAGGAACACGAGGATGGACGTGGCAAAGAACTCGGAGGTCGAGGAGGGGACCGTGAGCAGAGGAGAGTTAGTGGCGGGGAGCGCCGGGATGAAAAACAAAAAGGAGGCAGAGCAGGCAGCCGGAGCTAAAGCCGAGCAGGGAAGAGGAGCCCCTCGGGCGGTGGAGAATGCGCAGTGGCAGTGGGAGGCGCTTCGGAAGGAGATAAGGGAAGGCGGGAAGACGCGGCGGCCCAAACGGGTAGGAGGGCAAAGCTGAGCAACGAAGGTGGCGGGAGAGTGAAAGTGCGAGGAAGCGGGGAAACAACGGCGGATGCCGGACAGGGAGTGAAAAGTGACCAGAGATGAAGACGGAGGAGGGGGTGGAAATGAGAAAAGGAGGGGGCAAAAGGGAGAGGGAGGTAAAAAAGCGCTAAAGGGCTGGAAAAAGAGGTGGCCTGACCAACGCGAGCGAGGACGAGCGGTAGCGGGAGCAAAAAGGAAACAGATACGGTGGGACGAGCGCGGAGGGCCAACGGAGCGTACAGACGGCCGCAGGACAGGCGAGAGTGGCGACGCAGACCGGTGGGACCGCAAGCCAGCCAGATAGGAGAGGAGGAGCAGAGCGAGTGTGACCAAAGTACAGGCGGGGGGGCAAAAGGAAGGAGGAGACGAGCTGGAAGTGAAGAGGGAAGGGAGAGCAAAGAGGATGAAAGGACAGAAGGGAGGAGAGGGTGACGAGGAGAGAGAAGGAGGAGAGAGAGGCAAGGCGCGGGGAGAGCCAGAGGAAGAGCCGCCCAACGACGGAACGCGGCGGGGAGGAGTGAAGGAAAGCGGGACGGGCAGCGCAGGAACACGGGCAGTGAGGGGGAGCCGGTCGGAGAGCCGAGAAAGGCAGGGACAGAGCGAAAACCGGACCGGCGAGAGCAGCGCGGTGGAAGCGAAGCGGGGAGAGGCGACGGTAGGGAGAGAAGAGGCAGAAGGGACGGGGCGGGGAGTGGGAGGACGAGGCAGGAGGAGGCGGATAAGGAATGGGAGGAGACAAAGGAATGCAACCAAGCGGAATGTCGGGAAGACTGGAGGGCACACGAAGACGCGGGGCCGGCCCAAAACCGGGCGGGAGGCGGGGGGAGGACAAGCAAGAGAGGGCACACGTCAGAGCAAAAGTGACACGGGGGGCGGAGCAGAAAGGCGAAACAAGCACGCCAAACCAAAGAAGAACGAAGGAATGAAAGGGGGACACGGGGTGGAGAGGGGCGGCCATGTGGGCACAGCACGCACGGCAGGAGGAAAGAACGGCGGCGGAAGGCGGAAAGGGGCCGCGGCAGCAAAAGAAAGGGGAAGCAAAAAAAAAACACAGCAAAGCAACAACAACACAGCCAAAAGGCGAGGCGCAAGCAAAGGGAAAGGAAGGGCCACGAAACGGGAAAGGAAAGGGGAAGACGGCGCCGACGCCCGCCGGCAGCGTAGCAGTGGAAGGAAAGGTGGGGCGAGAAAGAACGCAGGACGCAACAACAAAGCCAAGACGGAAAGAAGGAACAAGGAAAAAGAAGAACAAAGGCGGCAGGAGGGAAGAATGGAGAAAGGACAGGAAGAAGCGGAAAAGAGCGACAAGAACAAGAACAACAAGAATAATGCGGAACAACACAAAAACCGCAAACGGGAAGGAAGAAACGCCGAACGACGCGAACGCGAAGTAGGCGGGAAGAGGCAGCACAGACACACAGCCGCACGGGCGGGAAAAAAACAAACGCAACGGAGGGGAAGGAAGGAAGGAGCGCGGAAGAGGGCGCAGCAAGGATCGCGCGGACAAGGGGGGGCTAGGAAGGGGGAGTGGGGGAGGCAGGTCAAAGAGGACAAGGAGGACGTGACACAGGACGGGCAGCGGAGTGCGAATAGAAGGGAAATAGCGGCAGCCAGAGGTGGAGGACGGTAAGCAGCCGAGGGGCGGAGAGGAAAGCGAGGCGAGGCGGCGGAAGGAAAGGGCGGCCGCTAGAGAGCCGCACGCGGGAGGGCAGAGGGAGAGCGGGAGAGGGAGGCGGGCCGAAAGGGAGCAGGAGAGAAGGGAAAAGGGGACGAACCGATGGCACACCAAGGGCGCAAGACACATGACGGACACCGGAACGAAGGAGCCCAGGGCAGGCAGGGAAGAGGGAAGAGGCCGCAAGCGACGCCCAAAGAGCCGAGCCCGAGAGAAGAGAGGGCGGACGAACGGGGCAACGCAAGGGCCGCCACGGCGCGCGCCAAAAGGGCAGTATGGACGCGGAGCGTTGTAGGCCAAACCACCGAAAAACGAGGCGAGGAGGGGAAAGAAGAAAGGGGCGGCGGCAGCGAAAACGAGGGAGGAGGGGAAAAAAGGGCCAGCAGGCAAGTAGGGAACCACAAACAGGCGGGCGGCCGGGGAGCAGACAAGGCCACGGCTGAACACCGTCAGGGTAGCGGAGGGTCGGACGAAAGGGGCGGCGGGGGGGGAGGCGCGGGGGAGCGGGAGGGAGGGGAAAGGTGGGGGAGGCACAGGGAAAAGAAGCGAAAACCGGCCGAAAAGGAGAGAGAAGGGGGGGAGAAGGGGGGCGAGAGAACCGAGGGAGCGCTGGGCAAAGGCGAGGCGGAGGAACGCGAGGACGAAGAAAGGCGCGAAGGCCTACAGGCGAGGGCGCTGGGGCAGCGGGAGAGAGAAGAAGAGGCCCCGACCGCGGGGCCGGGCAGGGAGGGAAGGGAGAGAGGAACGAGGCCAAAACGGAGCAGAGCGCGGGCGGGAAGCAGAAGGGGAAGACAAAAAACGCGAGGAGAGGACCAAAAACGAGGCAGAGGCAGGCAAGGAGGGAAAGGCGGCGGCGGCGCGCAGACGTGAAAGGGGCCAACCAGCGGAGAGGCGGGGAGAGGAAGCAGACTGGAAACAGAGGGAGAGGGAGCAACGGACGACGACGCAACACAGAATAAAAGGAGCAAGAGGGGCAAAGGGGCACAAACAACGAAAAGGCAAAGAAGCCGAAAAGGCAAAGGCGAGCCGACAGGCGAAAGGAAAGAGGACGACGGGTGCAGAGGGCGGCGGGGAAAAGGGAGCAGAAGAAAAATGGGGGCCGCGGAGGGCGCCGACAAACGGGAGCGCCCGAAAGCACAGAAGGAGAACGGCGCAGACAGGACAAGGCGGGACGAAAAGAAGGAGGGACGGGAAGCAAGGCGATGTGGAGACGAAAAAGGGGGAGAGGCAAGGGCCAGGGAGCGGACGCGAGGGAAAGAGGAAGAGACGGCAGCGAAAAGGAGGCAAAACGGGGGGGGCCGCGGAGGAGCGGCAAAATAGGAAGAGGGGAGAGGGGCGAAGAAAAGGGAGAGGAAGTGGCAGGAAAAAGAAGGCGCAAGGGAAAGAGAGGAAGGCGGGGAGGAGGGGAGGAGGAGAATGCGGGGAAGGGAGCAAAAGCAGACGCGAGGCAAGGGACAGACGAAAAGAAAAAAGAGGGACGAAAGAGGACCGAAAGGGGAGAGGAAACCGACGGGAAAAAAGGGAAGGAACGGGAGCGGGGAGCGAGGAGGGAGACGGGCGGGCGAGGAACCGGAGGAGGCAAGAAGGGCAGGAAGACGACCGAAGGAGGAGAGAGAGAACGCGGCAAAGGCAGAAAAGGCAAGGAGGGAAGGAAGGAGGCAACACAAGCACGCAAGAGAGAGGGCGGGGAAATGAGAGGAAACAAGCCCCCGCCGAAGGGCGGGGGCCGCCACAGACAAACCCTGGAGAGGAAGGCCGAAGGAAAGAACCGGCGACGGAACGCGCACAGAACCGGGAAGAGGCGAGGGCGAAGGAAAAGAGGGAATCAAAGGGGAGGCAACCAGACCAAACGCAGGAAAACGGAACGCGGGCGGAGGAGGGGGGGCAATGGAGAGGGAGCCGAAAGACCACGGGGGGACCGAACGAAGGGACAGCCAAGGGGCAGGCAACAGGGAGGAGAGGCGAAGACAGGGCCAACCGCGCAGACGACCAGCCAGAAGGACGGCGAGGGTGAGAAAGAGCGCGGAGGGAGCAGAGAGAGAAAGAGCGGGAGAAAACACAGGAATGAGGAGGGCGGCAAAGCCCGCGGAGCGGAAAGGGAAAGAGGGACAACAAGTGAGTGGGACGGACCCCAGAGAGGCGAGGGGCGGCGACCACAAAGAGCAGCCGCCCGAGGACGAAGGAGACGGGGCAGGGGAGGGAGGAGCGAAAAAGGGCCGCAAGGAAGCCCAGAACAGGCGGCAAGGGGCCAGGCGGGCGGGGAGACGGCGCAAGGAAAACCAGAGCAAGAAAGGCGCGGGAAGGAGACGCGTAGAAGCGGGGCAAGACAGAGGAAAGATAGGAGAAGGCGAAGGCTGACGGCCAGGGGGCGCAGAGAGACCAGATGAGCCAACGCCACGACGTGGAGGGAGCACAATGCGACCGGGAAGAACGCGGGCGAAGGAAAGGCGAGCGAGACAGGGAAGGAAGGAGGAAGGAAACCAACAAACGGGCAGCCCCAGGAGAAGGAAAGCGGACCAAGGGGCGGGGAACTACAAGGCAAACGGGAAGGACGACAGAGCCACCAACGGAGGAAAAAGGGAAAGAAAAAGACAGGGAGCGGGCGGGGCGCGAGCAGAGACGCCGAAGCGGAGCGGCAAACGAAAGGACGACAAGGAAAGACCGGCGCGAGCGGCGAGGAGCAGAAAGGAAGAGGAACGCGACGGAAAGAGGCGGGAGAAGACGGCGTAGCCAGCGGGGGACCCAACGAAACAAGCAGGCGGGACGGAGCAGGGCCTGGCAAGAAAAGCGAAAACGGAAAAAGCGCCAAGGCGGGACACGGGGAAAGCGGAGGAAGCGGACGGGAGAAGGGGAGCGGGAAACGGCGCGGGCGGAACGGAGGGAAGGAACTGAGCGGGAAAGAGGAAGCCAAAGGCGGCGGGGAAGGGGAAAGCGGCAGGCGGGAGCGCACAAAGGGAGACACACGGGCGGAAGGGCAGGGCGGAGAGGGCACCAGGCAAAAAAAAGGAGGACGGAGAGGATGCGGCGGCAGGCCAGAAAGGGAGGGAGGCGAGGAGAAAGCGATGGAAAGAAGCTGGGCGAGGGGGAACGAGCACAGGAGGCGGAAGAAAAGACGGGGAGCGGCGAGGGGGGGGCCGCACGGAGGCCTAAGCAAAAGGAGGAGGAACGGCCCAAAGAAAGACCGGGGAGGAAGAAGCGCCAGACGAAGGGAAATGGCATGAGAAAAGCAATAAAGGGACAGGGGAGAAAAAAGCACCAGGCGGAAAACGAGGGAAAGGGAGGACGACAAAGGAGAAGACGCGACACAAGGAGAACAGGCGGCAGAAGGGGACACGGCGGAGCGAGGCGAGCGGAACCGGAGGAAAACAAAACACCAAGCGAGCAAGAGGAGGACAAAGACGGAGGAGGCGGCAGACGAGGACGGCAGGGCAGCGGGCAGAGGGGCGGAAGGAGGGCCGCGGGAAGAAAGGAGGAGAGGCGCGGAGCCAGGAAACGGCGGGTGGCAGAAGGCAGGAAGGGAAGCGGAGGGCCGACGGAGGCCGCGTACAGCCAGAGGAGGAAAGGTGCGAAAAGAGGAGAGGGGAGGCGAGGAGCCCAAACACGAAGGAGAAGCGGTAAGAACGGGCTCCGAGGGAAAACACCAGAGAAACGCGGCGCCCGCGGGAAGGCGACCCGGGAAGAGCGGCCGAGGGCGAGAGGGACCGAAGCGGGCGGCAAGGGGCGCGACGGCAGAGGAAAGGAGAGGGAGGGCGAGCACAGACCAGGCAGGAGCACCAGCAGGACGAAACAGAATGGGGGGGGAGGGCAGGAAGGAAAAAAAGGGGGAAAAAGGCAGAGAGAGAGGGGGGAAGAAAGAAAGGAGAGAGAGAAGGCAGGCGTGAGAAGAAAAAGGAGAAGCAGCGCAGGGCAAGGAGGAGGACGAAAAAAGACGAGAAGCACAAAGAGCGGAAGGGGCGAAGGACGGAAGAGAAAAAGGGCGGAACACGGAGGGAGGGGAGGCCAAGGAGACGGGGCAAACCACCAAGCAGGGACGTAAAAGGACCAAAGAGCGGACGGAGGGAAAAAGGGGGGTAACGCGACGAGGGGAGACAGCGCAGACAACCGCAAAGACACCACAAAACCGCGGAGCAGGAGCAAGGCGCAAAGACGCAGACGGGGAGAGAGGAAAGAGCGGAACTGAGTCGATTTACTCATGCCCGTCAATCTGTCCATCCGTTTTCCCACATATATACGAAGCAGTCTTTTAGTTTTTGAGATATCGATCTGAAATTGTGTACACGTCCTTTTTTCCCTAAGAAGCTGCTCATTTGTTAGCCGATATCAGACCTACAACTATTTAGCATATAGCTGTGATACAAACTGATCGATCATAATTCAATATTTATATGGAAAACTTTTTTATTTGACAAGAAATCTTGACGAATATTGGCATGGATTATTGTCCAACAACGGTACAGTCTCCAAAGAAATTGCTCATATATTTGTGAAAGGTATTAAAGGTTCGGTGCAACCGAGGCTAACGTTTTTTCTCGTTTTATTTTGTTTCAGAATGCACTAGTATCACCGTCAACAGTCGAGGCTTTCCCAAAAAAGTTGATTCCGAAGATTGACAAAATGCCAATATCAAATTTTTTTATACGATTGAAAGAAAGAAACTTGTATTATTTTAAATGGGATCTAGACTGGCTTAACCCTCTAATTCTTCAATATAAAGCTGTTAGCAAGAGGTTGATATTTTTTGAAAAGCTAACCTCAATAATGAAACAAAATTACATATTTGGTTTAGGTATTACTTAATTTCATTCAAAGTAATTAGGGTCTTATCACTATCCCACTAAGGGTGAATTTCTGTCAGAACATTACAGTTTAATCCAGGAAGAGAAAACTATTAGAACATGACTTCGCAAGAAATATTCTACATAACAAACTCCTCGAACACACTTTCTAGCAAGTTTTCTACCCATTCCTGAAGATCCATTGAAGATGGAGTTGACAGTGGTAACCTTATTATAAAGTGATGGACTGTATTAGTTTGAAATAAGATCATCTCCGGCATATGATCGGACAGATTTGGATTGCTCAAAACACAAGAAACGGTATCTCAATTAATTACCATGTAGCTAATAAATCGATCGCTACAATCTTTTAAAAGAACGTCCAACTGCTGACAGAATTAACGCCGTAGAAAACGATAAGACGTGAATTGGTCAACAATAAGATGCGCGATTTTATATGCTATGCGGATGGATACCTACCGTTTAGCTCCAAAATAACGAAAAACGTATTACAGAAAGACCTTTCGCCGACTAATATTAATCAAGAAGAAAGAATAAGTTTAGTTTTTTGTAGATCTAACATATTGTTTTCTATGCCTTTTGAAATCACAGAAGAGGGTAGGGTTTTACCACCATAACAGTTACACATTATATAATATTTAT